TGAGGGAACACTGCAGGTAATAATGTCCTGAGAGCGCACGCTGTAGCTGCACTTACGCAGAGACATGTAGGAGGAGATGTATGAAGGCAGCAGACCAAGAAGTGATTTAAAGATGAAAATTAGAAACCATAAATTAAAACCGTTATGCTCCTGCCAGCTGCTTGCAGATGTTGGATGCTGTCTACCATCTGTTCATCTGCTACCATTTGTCTACCATCTGCATCTACCCATCTGCTCACCACAGACTCATGTTCGGGCTGGTGTTGTTATGCCGTATCGTTTTACATTACACTATTAGTGTTTAGCACATATCTTTGATCTTTTAGCGTATCGTTTGGCATTTGTTCATTGTATATTTTAGAGTATATCTTAGATCCATTCATCCATTCATCCATTGCCCACTTCTTCCTTTTTGGGTCACAAGGGTCACTAGTGCCCATGTCCAACAGTCACTGTGCGAGAGGCGGGGGACACAGGTCTCCAGTCCATCACAGGGACACATAGAGACAAATGAGACAAACGAGACAAACAACCATTCACTCTCTCACTCACTCCTAGGGACAATTTGGAGTTACCAACCAGCCTGTAAATCCTTATTCAGTGAAACCTGAGCCTGACGCTCCCATGGCCTCTGGCATATTTCTTGTCCAGAAAAAATAATTATTCTCAGTGGCTTGTGTTTAAAGTTTTACTTAAAAATGAAACATGTACAGCAAAAATGTAAGCAAAAACAACTTATCCACGAGTTGGTAATGAAACAGAAAAAGAGCTAGGGAAACTGTTTGGCTTCACTTCCCAACTAGTCTGTCTGGACTTTCTCTCCTGACATGCCCCTCCCACATCACATGACTTAAATAAACATGCTACCAACCTCAAACCTACAACGATCTACACATAAAACAAATAGCTTCAGTTATGCATATAATCTTTACAAAATTTAGTTTTAGGCTCCTACACAGCCTAACATGCATGTTTTGGGTCTGTGGGAGGAAACTGGAGTACCCGGAGAAAACCTGTTTCCTGGAATATCTTGCAAAAAGACCTGAAGCTCTCGACCTTGACCTCTCTAAGCGGCTTCAAACATCTGCTAAGTTCATGGGAATAAAACTATGCAGACATGTTCCTGTTTTTAGTTTTCTACGCCTTACAACTTAGCTGTTTTTTTTTGTTGTTTTTTTACACATTTTTAATACCATTTTATTTTCACTTGTTATTCTCAATTTGATTGCAAAGGGGAGTGGTGGCACAGAGGTTAGAGAAGGTGGGCCTGTAATTGCAAGATCGCTGGATCAACTCCCGGTACCAACAACATGAAAATGTGGGTGGGAAAAGTGAAGCACCCACACCTGTCT